AGAAGAGGGCCAGCTTCATGTGTGTAGGGCATGTGCAGCCACACAAGGCCCCGTGTTTAGAAGGGCTCCTCATTTGACTAATGCTCTACTGTTACTGTCTTGAAACAAGGGGACCTGCATTTTTATTTTGGACTGAGCCCTGCAAATCATGTAGCCAGTCATGTCTGTGGGCTTAATGGGCATGGACTAAATGTTTTGGGAACATTAAACCTGACAATTTCTCAGAAAAACTGTTAAAGAGGAAAGATAGGTCTTAAAAATGCCATGATCCAGGTACATGTACTGGGTCCCAGAGTTAGAACTTGAGTGCTGGGTCTTTCTTCTAGGTGGCACGGTAGTCTTTCTGTGATACCCTCCCAGTTATGCCGCTGAGTCCTTTCCTTTCCTCTATCCCACTGAGATAGTTGGGTTCCCTTAAACAACTGAAAACTCAAAAGAAACCTCTGCAAATTTTCATAAAATTACTATTCAATAAATATTTGCTAGGCACTCCTTTACTGTTTACACGGCCATCTAAATTACAGCGCCAATCTGCTAAAGCCTTTTTTTCATGTTTCAAAAACAGGAGTTCTCAGAAATGAGAAGGAAAAGATATATCAATGATGAGAATCCATTAATAATACTTTATAACTGGGAAATGTTTAACATATGTACTATTAAAAGTAAATATCAAAACGTTTATTGAGCAGCTCCTATGTCCAAGATGCTGTAAGGCTCTAGGAGAATATGGAAACATACAAAACATAAATTCTATTCTCAGGAGTTTACAGTCTACAGAAAAGACATATGCAAAGCTAAATGTAACAAGTCAGATTGTCATGAGTAAAGTTAGAGATATAAATAAAATACTGCAGAAACAGGAAGGAGGAACAATGCATCCTCTGTGGGATCAGTGAAGGCTGTCTGTTTAGTCTTCAGTATAAAGAAGTAATTCAACTTTCAAATTCATGTAATGGGACCTCCTTGTTTTGAGGATTAAAATCTCAAGCCGTAAAACTAATAATCCATATACTACAATCAGGCATTTAAAATAATCACACACAAAGATTATGGATTTCCTGAGTCTTATTTATAATGGGCGTGGGGGTGGATGAATATTCTTAGTGGACACATAATGTAATTTCTCAGTTTGGTCTTTTTTACTGCGCTGTTATATACAATGATTTAATTTGCATTAAAGAGAAGTTAAATCTCTTCCCTTAGTGTGGAATTGAGACAGAGAATAGCATACTGTTGTAGCTGATAAAAGAATCCTTACGCACAGGTTTATTTGTGCCTAGTTAATAGCAATCTTTTATTGCTGCAATTCCTCTTGAGAGTCTGTATCTGCTAGATTGAATTTAAAAACCTTAGCATAGCTGATTGCACAACCAGGCTGAATACTGTTCCAGAGAACCACATAGAAAGCTGAAACCTTCAGAAATTATGCCTGGTATGGGTAGTTGGCCCCTGTGCCTTTTCCTGGCTGCTAAAGAGTATTGTCCAGAGTTCATCAAAATCATAATTTCAGATTCCTACCAGGAAGAATACTATCTGCAAAACATTCATGTATGAATCACAGTTTTATAATGAGTATTCCAGATAATGTTTTCCCTGAAAAAGAAATCTTATTTTTCAGAAGATGAGCATTAAAAATGGCTTCATCTAGTGATGGTCATCTGAACTCAGGGAACCTGACCTTGGCATCCATTCCTGTCCCTCATGTGTTTCTTAACTTGGGAGCCATGGTGCAGTTTTTGTTAAGATTTTTTTGTCTGGGTGATTGAGAATGTCTGAAATCGTGCTGTTGGCAAAGATGAAAATTTTGTGACAAGTGATCATGCAGTTTAGTGACTATCCCTTATGGGAAAGCTAAATTGGAAAGTCTTGAGTGTCCCTTTCAACTCTAAGATTCTATAATTTAGTTCCATGTTCAGATATAGAATCCTCAAGGGAGGAAAAAAAACAAACACTGAATAGAAATCAGGAGAGCTGTATTTTTGACTTGGCCTCTAATTAGCCATATGCCCTTGAGCCAATCATTTTACCTTGACTTCTCATCTCATTCACTTACAAAGTAAAGATTCTTTTAGCCCTGGGATACTCTCATCCTATGTGTAATGAACATTTAATAATTGCTGACATTTGTGGAGCAATTTCTGCATTGCAGAAATTGTTTTAAGTACCTGACATAACCCTTTTGATCTTTATAATGACTCCATGTGGCAGGAACTGTAATTTTCCCCTATTTTCAAGGAGGGACACTAAGACAGAAAGATGTTAGTTAACCTTCCCAAGGTCATATAGCCAATAGGTGGTAGAGCCAGGATTTCAATCCAGGCAGTCTGGCTTCAGAGCTCATACTCTTAACTATAGTGTCATACTATCTCATATAGCCTTCTAAGTAGTCCATTAAA